TTCAAGAATTTAATAACTTTTCTATTTTATTAAATTTTATGAAAATCAATTTTATACCAATTAAAACTAATAATTATGTGATATTTTAAAAATGATTATCATAAAATTTAACCAATAAAATTACAAATAAATTAAATATTTATTATATTAATTTGTAATAAAAAGGAAAAAAACTATCAAAAAAAATTTTTTATTTTATAAGCTAATATTATTTTTTTAGTAAAATAAATTCAGATTTACATTAATTCAAAAAAATTTTTTTGGTAGTTTCTTCTCTTTTTACTATAAAGTATCTATTTCTTTATTAATAAACTGATTTTAATATTATTAGTATTAGCGATTTCTTTAAAATATTAAAATAAATAGATAATATTATAAAAATCTAGTTAATATATTAACTTTATAATTATTATTAAGTTATAAAATATTTAATAATAAACTTTTATATAAATTTTTTATGTAAAATATAAATTGTTTAAACAATTTATAAAATAAATAATTGAAAAGATAACTAAAAATTAAATAAAATCTGAAAAAAATAAGTAAATTAAATATTTTAAAGGAAATAAATAGAAAATTAAATTAAAAATGAAAAAAAAAGAAATAATTTAAAAAATTTAGATGAAGAAATATAAAATAAAAAAAATTATATTAAGAAAAATAAATAAAAAGTCATCAAAAGAAAAAGAACTAAACCAATAAAAAATATCAATATAAAGAAGAAATATCTAAAAAATAATAAATTAAAATATATAATTGTAATAAAATTTGAATAAAGATTATGAAAATTACTTTTAAATAAAAAAAATATAATAAGAATTACATTTAAATATAATATAAAATATTATTAAATATAATTAAAGAAAACTTATAATAAAAATAACAAAATATACTGATAAAATTTGAAAAAAAAATATAATAAACTAGAATAAATAACAAAAAAAAATAAAATATAATAGATAATTAAATATCTTAAGAGAAGAATAAAAGAAATACATAAATAAAATAGATTCTTAAACAAATAAAATTAATTTATAAAATAATCCTTTTAATAACAAGTAACAAAAATATATTAAGAAAATATAAACTTTTATTAAAACTATTTAATTTACAAATATTAATAATTTGTTAAATCTGAATTTAGTGATTATTATATAAAATTAAAAGTATACTTATATAAGACTATATAAAGATTTAATATATTTAAATAATTAAATTTAATAATTTATATAATAAATAAGATAATTTTCTAATTATATATAGAGTATCGAATATAATATGAAATATAAAGTGTGATAAATAATATTTTTAATATAAAAAATTTTAAGTTTTTAGATTAATTAATAAAAATAAAATATGTAGAATATAATAATCTATATAATAACATTAAATCTTAAACTAAATATAATTCTATATAATAAGTTTATATATATCATAATTTGTATTTATATACTTTATATTTACTAAGAAATTTCAATAAATAAATATTAATCTTATAATTTTTTAAATTAATTTAATCTAAAATTGTAAGATAAAACTTAAAGGTTTTATAAATCATTAAAATAATAAAAATAATATTTAAAAAATTATATAAAAAAAATCTAAAATTTAAAAAAAAGTAATATTATATAAAAAAATGGTAAAATTATATTAAAATTTTAGTAAAAGATTAATGAATCTAAAGATTAAAAATTTTGATAAACATAAAATATATTTACAGTCTATCCTTAATAACAAATTTTGATATAATAAACTATATGATGCTTGACTAATTAAATATGTTAATTTTCCTTCTCTATAATGAAGTAATCAATCAAATTCTTCAAATTCTTTACTAATTTGCTATAATGAAGTTGAGATGTAGAATAGTTACTTCGCTCTATTAAAAGATAGACTATAGTTAATCAACTTTAATTTAACTAATTTTAAATTTAAGTTTTATTAATTTTATATATAATTTGACTCTGTTTTAAAATTTTAATAAATAAAAATTTTTAAATTTTAATATTTATATAAAAATATTTATTAAAAAATATTTTAATTTTAGTTTACAAAAAATAAAATTTTATTTCTTTATTTTCAAAATTAAAAAAAAAAAATAGAAAGTCAGCTTATAAAATAAAATTTTAAATTTTAAATATTTAATTTATAAAGATAATTAATATTTTAGTAATATTTTAAAATGAAATATTAATATTAAAAATAATTAATTATAAAATTTGAAATTAAATTAAATTGTTTAAAATAAGATTTAAAAATCTTATTATTAAAAATTCTTAATAAAGAATCTAGATAATTATTAAAAATATTATTAAATAATAAGAATATTTTAAAAGTTAATTATTAAAATAATTAAATTTTTGATATTTTATAATAGATTTTAATATTAAATAATAAAATATTAATTATTAAGGTATTTATTATATAATATAAGATTAGAATATTAGTTTTTAATATAGTTATTTTAAAATAAATAAATTAAAATGTATTAAGTAAGTCAATTATATTATATTGTAAAAATTAATTTAAATTATAAAATTTTGTCAAATTTCAACTTTAGAAATTATTAATTTGAGATATGGATCAGGTCTACTAAGATTAACACCAGGTCTCTTCTTAATTTGTAATCCTTCAACTGGTTGAAAAATAAAATTTCTAACTAAAACACTTAATATTATTTTAAATTCAGTTATGGATAATTTGTAACCTATACAGGATCTTACACCGGTACCAAAAGGCAAATAATTATAATTTGATACATTTTTAATCATAGAAGGATCTAACCATCTTTCGGGATAAAATTTATCGGCCATTGGTCCCCCAAACTGATGGCAATTTATGAATTGTTGCAATTGGAATATCAATTACAGTATTCTAAATAAAGGAGCATTTTGTTAATAAATTTTGAAATATAAATTTTAAAAATTAAAGTAAAATGTATGCATACCTTTGGAATAAAATATTCTCCGAAAACATTATCTTTGATACTTAATCGATACATAGTTGGAGCTAAAATGAAAAAATCGGTAGTTAATAAATAAACTAATAATAAATTTTGATCAAAAAATTTAAATTTTTACCTGGAGGTAATAATCTTAATGTTTCTTTAACTACACTATTTAAGTAATCTAAAGCATTTATTTCATCAAAAGTGGGATTAAATATTGATTTATCAGGAAAGGCTTTAACTAATTCTTCACGTAATAAATCTTGTTCATGTGGGTGTTGTGCAAGAAAATACAAAGCCCAACTCGTTGAAATACTTGTAGTTTCATGTCCAGTTAATAAAAATGTCATAAGCTAAAATGTTTAATGAGTAAAAAATTAAAAAAAGTAAGATAAAGAAAATAATAATTAAAATGATAATAATTAAAAATATATGTTTAAATACTTGATATCTTAGTTCATCTTTAGTCATTTTTTCATCATTAGGTAAAGTTTTGTTGATATTAATTAATAAAGATAATAAATCATTTCCGCTATTTTTGTCATCATTGATACATTCTTCAACCAACTTTATCGATTCGCGTTCAATAACATTAAATGCATTATTAAATTTTTTGTTTATCTCTATTGGAATTTTTCTAATAACCGGGAAATAAACAGATAAAATACTAATAATAATGCTTAATTTGGTTAATTCTTTACCCATTAAAAAATCATAAGCTTCCGCTAATTCACTTGGAGAAGAGGATGCATTAAATTCATGATTGAATCCTAAAATATGTTTCAATAAGTTAGGAATGTCACATATATTTATACATAAAAAAAAAAATAAAAATTTTCTTCCTTACCAACCAAGCCAATGATATCTAAAGTAGTTTTAGAGATATAGGGAATAAGATTAATTTTCGATTCACCTTTATTTACATCATCTTCTATTAAACATTTTAATTTGAAAGCTAAACGAGAAAATGTTGGAACCATTTTCTAAATTGTGTAATATGGGTACTTAGTCACATGCTTTAATTTATTTATTACGAATCGAATAAATGTTACGTACTTTAATGTTATTATGAGCGAAAGCAGGGTTCATCATTTTTCTCTGTCTCTTGTGGGTTTCACCCTCTACAGTAGAAATGCCTTTACCAATAATGCGCATAATATCACCCCTGATAAGGTTAGATTTTAAAAAATCATAACCTTGGGTTAAGAAAATATCCTTAATTATTTTTGCATCTGTAACCACAATGGTTGGTTTATTAAAGAATCCGTGATATTTTATAAAATTTCCATATTTTTTTACCCATCTCGCATGTGGTTCACCGGACTAAAAAAAAGTTGAAAAATTAAAAATAAAATGTCAAATTGGGATAAAAATCAGTTAAAAATATTAAAAAAAAAATATTAACTTACCTCTTCTACGAAAAGTGTTTTAAGATTTCCATAGAGAAGATTTTCAGAAGGTGGTCCAGGAATTTTTCTCAAAGGAGAAAGATAATAAGGAAAAATATATACTTTATAAGTAAACAGACCTATAAATATTAAAACAGAATAACCAACTAAAGAACTCAATTCGATCATTTTTTCGTTTTATTTGAGAAAAATACGATTCTTTAATTCAATAAATTTGTCGCAAACACCATATTAAATACTAATATTATTTACGTGTTGATCACATGATCTACATAGCAATTATTATAAATTCGTTTAATTGCGCTCGTTCTTGATTGACCAGAGAAATTTGATAACACCTGAAATTGGAATTCCGAAATCCGAAGATCAGTTAAATGACTGATAATTCTGGCTTCCAAATTTCAGTCAACTTTTTAAAAATTTACATGAAATAACCAATTATTTTTTCGGATTCAGTTGATTTTTTTCAATTTACCCCTAATTTCATATTGTAACACAGAAGCTGACAAAGCGGAAATTGGATTCCAGAACAGAAGAAATAAGTTAGCCTTCAATTTTATAATTTTTGAAAGGCATTTTCCAAAGAAACTAGTAATAATACTTATACACTTCCTAGTCTTTCCGATAATGACATTATCAAAAACATGGAAAAGGTTGAAATTCATCAAGTTGATCATGAGTTCAGTTCTGAATTACTTCCTATCGATAGCGAATTTAGATTGGACAACGACAAAGTTGATCATAATAACGAAGGATGTATTGATGAAATGAAATTGAAAGAAGAACCCGTAAAGTTTTATTTAAGAAATTTGGCGGTTTTTTCTATTAAAGTCACGTTACAGTTCATAATGATCTACGATGTCTCGTGACTCGATTTTTAACTTGTTTTTTAGATTAGAAACGCGTATAGCGGAATTACTATAGCTCTCTCAAGCATCAGTTAATGTTTTGTGAAATCAACCCAGAATACGTTCGAAGTCCGGTAGAAAGTAGTATTGGTATTATTAGATTTAGTATAGATCACGTAGAGCCATCAGACCTTATGCAAGATGTAATTACCCTTCAAGAACATAAATGTGTTTTTTTCATCATCTACAAGTCCTATTGAAGGAGATAATGATAAAGATTAATTGGTTAAGAAAGAAGTTGTGTCATCATCACAGAAACCAAAAGATCTAATAAGTTCACGTGCAAAGAAATGGCATGAACTTCCAGATGATATGAAGGAAGTAAGTTTTAAATCCAAGTTTCATTTTTCATTTATTTGAAAATGGGCAAGAACTTTTTTTTATTTATTTCAAATTGCGCAGTATTACCAAAGGAAAGCAAAACGTCTACGACAATATACTCTCAAAACCAATCGGGAAGTCAACTCGTAAAACCCGGAAAAGACGAAAGTGAACTTTTAACTGTTGATATTCCGAAATTTTTTCTGAGGCCAGTTATTCCAATTGTGACGATGACACAAATTCAATATATTGATTTTGCCCAACATAAACTTCAAATGTTGGAAAGATAGGTCATCCGGTATGATTTAATATGTCGTCGTATCGTTGATGAATAATTTTTTAATTGCTTATTGGTTTAATAATTGAAAGTCTGCTGTTACATGACTCATGTACAAGATTAATATTAGGGGTATTCAAAATAGGTTTATGCAAAATTTGATGCACTTTGTGTTAACCAATCAATTATTATTTTTTTAGCGCGCGAAATTGAATAAAATCGATGCATATTTTGATGTGTTTTTATGAAATCGTATTTTCAAAAATAAGGGTTTCCGTTAAAAATTTTGCATCAACTACACCTGCTATTTTGCTGATGCATTTGATGAAAAATCCGATATATTTGCATCAAAATCTGTATCAACCAATTTTGAATCTTTTTTGTGAGAAAAAATCGAATTATTCGGAATCTAACTGATTAAATAAAACGACTTTCTAAAAAAGAAAGGGATCGGCGCTTGGCTTGGATTAAAATTTTCTCAAAAGTAACCGCATTGCATGGTAGCTTCCCAAGCTGATAACTTTAAATAAAATCTTAAGACGCGATATTACAACATTTTGAGGCTTCCTTTTTCGTGTTAATTAACCTGATATTTTTGACGATGTCATGTTTCCTCCCATCAAAAGGATTATGAAATTTTCATATGGAATGATTTTCATGGGTTATCATACTAATTGGCACTTTGTGTGTATAACAGCTGACCTCATTAACCAAGTATAAACTAACATCTTTGATGATCTAACACCATAAAAACTTCTGACAATTCATTCGCTTTCAAAATCAACAGTAAAAAAAAAAACCACTTTTTACTATTCTTTTTTCTTTTATATACAGTAAGGTAATATCTGCAATTACGCCTAAAAACGTTATTTTCGAGTTACATTAAAGAAAAATAATTTAATATCAAAATTGGTAAACCAAATCGGCTGAGCGAAAGTTCACTTTTGTAAATTAGTACAAATTAATGTAACACACCCAAATAAAACAGGCATATAAGAAACCAATACCGACTTTTCCTTACTAGTCAACCTTTTGTAAAAAGGAGAATCAAAAAACTTATTTTTTTTTTTTTTTTTTTTTTTTTTTTTTAACGACTTTCAAATTGGTTCCTCTTTAATCATTTTGGGTTCGCTTTTTTTTGGTGTTTTTTTTTTTTTTATAAATTGTTTTTATGAACCTCTTGGTG